GGTACTGCCTCATGGCCTGGAGTGAGGGGAGTTGTCCCCTTGTCCCCAGGCTCTCTACCATCCTACTCCAGCCCTTGCTCCAATTCCAGGTCAGCACAGTGAGGATGCAAGGTGTGATCCTGCTGGTATTTGCCAAGTACTACCACCTGCCCTTCCTTCAGGACATCCAGACAGACTGCACCAGGACAGGGCTGGGGGGATACTGGGTGAGTGTGGCCCTGGGGGGAGATTGCAAGGGGCTGGCTTCCCAAGGAGTCATGGGATCCTCTTGGTGCAGGGCAACAAGGGTGGGGTGAGTGTTCGTCTCTCCATCTTCGGCCACATGGTCTGCTTCCTGAACTGCCACCTGCCAGCACACCTGGAAAAGGCGGAGCAGCGCAAGGAGGACTTTGCCACCATACTGCACATGCAGCAGTTTGAGGGGCCTGTGGCCAACGGCATCCTGGACCATGAGTGCGTACCCCACCACTTTGCTTCCCAGTCTGGGCTCTAGTGCCAGTCCTAGTCCTTGACCACCTCCATGTAGGGTGTGGGGTCTCCCCTGCATCCCAGCACAGTTTGGAGATTTGGTCTTGCCTGCAGAGCTGGCCTAGCATGGACTCAGCATGGTGGGGTAGGTGTTTATAGAGGGGTCTTGGTCTCACCACATTCAGGGCTGGTACAATTCCTGCCTTACTAGCACTCTTGGGGTTTGGGACCAGTCAGAGGGCCTAGCTCTGTCCCTGTGTCCTGGCTTTGCGATCTGAATCCAATGGGTGCCTCATGTGGAAATTCCCACCCTTGGTTTCAGTTTGGGGAAGTCTGGCCCATTTGGCTAATGGTGCTTGGTCCTACCTACAGAATCCTGGCAGCTGGCCAGGCTGCTGGCTGAGCAGTGACTTGTGCCAGTGTTCCCAAGAGCACCTGTGCTGTGGGCTAAGGCTGCCCCCAGGCTGGGGACATCTTTCCCCTGCTGTCCCTTGCTCTGGTAGCCTCAGCCCTTTCAGCCCATTGCCCTTGCTGCCATCCACAGCCTCGTGTTCTGGTTTGGGGACCTCAATTTCCGCATTGAGAGCCTGGACATCTGTTTTGTGAAGTATGCCATTGACAGCAATGTCCTGAGCCAGCTCTGGGAGAAGGATCAGGTGAGGGATGGGTGTGCTGCCAGCCTACACTGGAACCCTAGCAGTGATCGACTCTCCCCAAAACTGCCCATGCAGCTGTTGGTCAGGGCACGTCCTCTTGCAACCCATAGGACACAAAGGGCCCTGGCTCTCATGTCTCTGGGGGAGGAAGGGACAGCAGAATCCCAGGTCAGTCTGGATGGAGCTGGGCACACTTCCCTCATGAGTGTGTGAAGGAGAGCTGAGGCATTGAGTCTACAGACTAGCTGCTGGCATAGACAAACCCTGAGAGCTGTGGGAGCTGGCAGGAATGGGACTGGGATTTCACAGTGTGTGAGGGTGGGGAGATCTGGGCAGGATTTGCGGAGGGGTCTGGCTATGGGGGTTGCTGTGCTCCTTGATGTGCTCTCTTCCCCACAGCTGAACATTGCCAAAAGCACGTGGCCTGTTCTCAGAGGCTTCCAGGAGGGACCCCTGAACTTCCCACCTACTTTCAAGTTTGATGTGGGCACCAACAAGTATGACAGCAGGTAGGAGAGCAGAGCTGGGCATGAGGTGGGGCTGAGAGATGCAGGAGCTGTGGCGCTCAGAGCCAGTGTAGGTGCTGGTGTGGATGGGTGGGGAGAGCAGCCGTGCTGGGGTGGGCACAGGCTGGACTGTGATGTGATAGCAGTGCTGCTGCCAGCACAGGTCTGTCCCAGCAGCTGTGCTGAGTGCCAGGATGAGCCACATCCTCTGCCCACATGTGCCGTAGTGCCAGGGGGAGGCAGTTTGGGTCAGAGCCGACTGCCCCTGCCAGGCAAGAGATGCTCTTCTCTGCCCTGCAGTGCCAAGAAGCGAAAACCTGCCTGGACTGACCGCATCCTGTGGAAGATAAAACCTCCCAGCAAGGGGTTGGGCACAGGTGGGCACCGGCCCAGCCAGGGTGTGCTGTCAGTGAGCCAACTGTGCTACTGCAGTCACATGGAATACACCGTCAGCGACCACAAGCCAGTAGCTGCCATCTTTGCCGTGCAGGTGAGCACTGTCCAGGGCTGCTGGGAACACAGGCAGGAGCTGCAGGGGTGGAACGTCAGGCCTTTTGTGTGGGGAGCTTACTCCAGTTTGGCGAGCTCAGCACCCTTGCCTCTTACTGGGGGCTGCTGTGGGTATGTGCATGGGGTCCCTGGGTAGCAGAGGCAGCTCTTTGCCATACTCTTTCTCTGGCAGTTTGCTTCCAAGGTGGACAAGCCCCCAGTTGAGATTTATGTGGCTGATGAGTGGAGCAGGCCTGAGCAAGCAGTTGTCAGGTACAAGATGGCTGTTGGCTTCCACCGGAGCTCCTGGGACTGGATAGGACTCTACCGGGTAGGGGCTTGGGGGCTGCTGGGGCTGGAGGGAGTGGGGAGCACTGCACAGCACTGCGGGGTCCCTTCTGAGCTAACCCCCACCAGTGAACATGGCGAGGGCATGGAGCTGTGCCCTCCCTTCCCCTGGCATCATGATGTGGTCCTGCTTCAGGAGGCTCTGGTCCAGCAGTTCCTCCTTCCCCCTGCTCTGTGGGCCCCACAGCACCCCACGGCACAGCTGCAGGGGGGTGCAAGGCAGCTTTGGGTCACCCTCTGCAAGCAGAGCCAGCTGAGCAACAGGAGACTGAAGAGTAACTGTGCCGAGTGGGGCTCACATTGTCCCACTCACTTGTATTGTCCCACGTATTGTGCACAGGTGGGGTTTCGGCACCCTAAAGACTACGTGTCATATGTCTGGGCCAGGAGTGATGATGGGGAGCGCTGCCTGGAGAAGCAGCTGTGTGCACAGGTGAGCTGGGGCCAGCCCTACTGTCTTGCTGGCACTTCTGCCCCACACTAGAGGGACAATCGGCCCTTTGTGCCCCTGGATGGGGGAGGCAGGCACCTCGTTACTGCTTTTTGCTGAGTATGGAGCAGGCTCATGGTATTGGCAGCAGAGATTTGTGCTTTTGGCTGGGGTTGGAGGTGGCGGGGGGGCACCCCTGTGCCAATCCTGGTGCCCATCAGGTGTCTCTGGGCTGCAGGTGATGTTCTCTGAGGAAGCACTGCCCAAGGGAAACGGAGAGTACATCCTTGGATATTACAGCAACACCTCCAGTAGCATTGCTGGTGTGACTGAGCCCTTCCAGGTGAGCACAGCCAAGAGGTGAGGGGGGATGGAGATGGCAGAGGGGGGTGTCGGGGGTGTCTCTGGATGGGGGAGGCCAGCTGGTGTGGTACCCAACAGTCCCCTGTGAGGGTCAGCTAGCAGTGCTGATGCAGGGGTGCAGATTTCCCTACCCAGGTCAGAGGAGGGCAGCAGCTCTACAGACAGCTCAGGCAGCAGCTCAGAAGAGGATGACAGTACACTTGTCCTCCTGGCTCCCAAGTCCCGTAGTCCCAGCCCAGGCAAGATGAAACGTCACCGGAGCCGAAGCCCCAGCCTGGCCAAATTCCAGGGCCTCATCCTGCGGCCATCAAGCCGGGACAGGGGTACAAGCCGCAGTCCCTCACCCCAGAGCCGTTGCAGCCTCCCCAGGAGCATCCCCACCATCCATCTGCCCCATGAGGAGCTGGGGCACCATGAAGTCAAAAGCAAGGAGCTGGGACAGGCAGCTGAGAGCCCAGACAGCAGCTCGTTCTACCAGACTGTGCAGGAGCAAAGTGGCCTCCGGCGTGTCTCTGCTGACAGCTCCCTGACCAGGGCTGACCCCCGGAACCTGGGCCTGCTGCCTGCACTGCGCCTGGAGATGATTGACCAGGCCCTGGGCCGGCGGCAGGAGAGTGCAGACCAGGGCTATTATCCCTGCCGGAGAATGAGTGCCACCAGCCCCCCAGGCTGTGGCACCTCCCCAAAGGAGGGGGACAGCCCCCAGGAACTGGACAGACATAGCTGTGCCATGGGCCGCTGATGCAGTGGCTCCCTTCCTCCTCCCCATAGCGCGCTTGCTGTGTGCTTTCCTCTGCCACTTCCCTGCTGAGACACTCCCTCCCTTATTTATTGCAGTGACTCCTCACCCCTGTTGTGTGCCTGGCAGGTAGAGGCCCCCTCCTTGCTGCCCCGCTGCCCCCACAGCCCAAGCTCCTGCCCTGGGCTGTGAGGTGACCACACAGGGGAGGGTGGGCAAAGTTGGTTTAATGCGGTTTGGGGAACCTCTCATGAACTTCCAAGTGCAGGACTCTTGTCCCATGGGAGGAGTGCTGAGGTGGCACAAAAGGCCAGGGCAGGGCTCTGGCAGGAATGGTGACAGGCACAGAGCAAGGACCACCACAGGGTAGCCTGGAGATCGGAGATCAAAGCTTGCTCCTTCCCTGCTCTACTACTGTGCCTCAGCCTGAACATAGTGCAAGTGACAAAATAAATGATCCTGCCCACCCCAGCTGCACTGTGCTCACTGCTGGGGGCAGGATCACCCCTGGGTTGGGGGCCACAGTGTCAAGAGGGTACAGCAGGCTCAACTCTTGTACCATATACCATGCTCAGACCACCCACCCTTTATTTTTTCTGCTGCATTCAGGTACTGACCTCAACCCTCCTACCCTACCTGGGCAAGAGGGTCAGGATTACACCTCACTGCTCAGGTCCCCCAGTTGAAGGGTCACCAATCTAGGGGTGGGATGCCCTGCCATCCTCCCTGCCCCAGAGCATACCAGGAAAGGACAGTGAGTTTCCTCTTTCCTGAGCCCTCCTATTTCTTTCCCCTTGCTTTTGATACTCAGGGATGGCAGCCACAGCTCCTTGAGAGGCTTCTCAGTCCCTCTGCCTGCTCTGGCTGTGGTCCCCAGCTCCATGCTGTCATGCCAACAGCCATGCTCAGTGCCATCCTTTGACTTGAGGACCAGACCCCAAGCAGCTCTCAGCTGCTGCACAGCACATCTTCCTCCCCAAGGCAGCACTGCTTGGGTGTCATCAACGCACTGTGTGGGGCCAAGCTGGTGTCTGCTCTACAACCCGATGCTGGTGGCACTGCTCACAGAGGGTACCTCGCCTGGCATGTGTCTTCCCGTGTAGATGCTTGGCCTTGGAGCTCACATGCGGAGGGCCCCAGCGTCTTAGAATCTTTTTGAGCTGCTGTGCAGGTACAAGCACAGCCCTGGTCATCATGGTACAGCTGCTGGAAAAGCAAAGCTGTGAGCATCACTGTAACCCTGCAGCACCAACATCCACTGCCCCTGCCCTGCAGCCCGGTTGTGGCACAGCAGAGCAGGGGCCAATGCTTGCACTACTGGTTTCCTGCCCCACCCAGGCCCTGGCCTCTTGACTTCTGCACTTACCTGTGCTGTGACCCCCTGCCTGGGCTGCAGGCAGCAGGCAGCTCTAGCACAAAGCAGTCCATGGTGATGTGGTCAGCCAGGACAGCCAAGTCCATGTTGCTGCAGTCCCTTGCCCTGTGGAGGCACCGTGCCAGCCTGCAGGCACAGGAGGGCGCATGTCACCAGGTGCTGGCCAGGGCAAGCATCCCACCTCCTCTGATCCCCAACTGTATGCACACAGTGGCCTTTTCCTCCTGGACTCACACCTGCGCGTGCAGTTGCAGTGGAAGAGTGTCCGGCTGTCCACGTTGTGCAGCTGGTACCTCACCTCATGGGGTGCAATCTGGTGCTCACACTTACCCAGGTGCTTGCTGCACCTGCACCCCCTGCCCGGGCCTGAGGACAGTGGGGAGGTAATGGGCACCCCCAGCACATGACCCCACCAACCTGAGGCCTTGGGCCACCCCAGCTGTGGTGTGCACATGCTGCCCACAGTACCAGCTCACCCTGCTGCCTGCGCCCCTTCACAGCTGGTACGGGGGTGGCTCCACACTGCGCTGTGGCTGGGCTGGGTCCAAGGCTGCCACACCGAGGACGTGCTGAGATTCCAGCTCCTTGCTCTGGTCCAACCAAATCCTGTCCTGACACTGTCGATGCTGTTGCACGGCCAGGCTCTAGCGCCCAACGCACTGCTGGGTGCCTGGTTGTGAGCTCAGTCTTGTCCCTGTCTGACGCAGGGGTACCTGGGCCCTGTGGCTGCTGGGCTGTCTTATGTCTCCGTGCCTGGCGGTGCCCAGGCTTTGCCCTCAGTTTCTGTCGAAACCGCTTACGCCCTGTTCTAGAGAAATTCCTTCCCTTGCTCGGGGGCTGCACAGTGGGGCTGCCCCTCTCCTCTGCTGGTAGGCTGGGGTGGTACTGATTCTGCTGCACCATCCTGGCCAGAGGCACTACTCCATAACGCTCACACCTGGGGACACCACGCGTTGTGAGGTCCTGCACACCAACCAAGTCAGTGCCCGAGGAGACAGCCGGGCAGGAAACGCTGAGGGCCGGGGCACCCCCGGGAACTCACCCGCCCCACCAGTGCCACTGGATGCACTCCTCGCTCTCTTCCAGCACAAAGCACGGTACCTCCAACAAGTTGAAGAATGTGACGCCGATGATGTTGGAAACGGTGTCGTTGATGGCGAGCAGGCACTGCCGGAACCTGAGGGCAGGGGACCGGTGAGGAGGGCGGGCTCCCCAAGCTCCCCGTTTCCTCATACCCTGGGCTCACCTGGTGTCGCAATCGCAGTGGGACACGGTGTGCAGGCGATAGTTGCGGATGCCGTAACTGAACTGCAGTGCCGTGATCTGCGCCCAGCACTGGTCATGCTCCCGACAGCACCGGTCGGGGCCGCGGAAGAGCCCTGCGGAGGCGCCGATGAGCCGGAGCGAGACCGGGTGCTCCCGCCGCCCCCCGCCGATCCGTACCCAGCTCGCTCCAGTTCCCCGCCGAGTTCCCCGCGCCGCACCACAGCGTTCCTGGCAGCGTCCAGCCCCGGCGGCGGCGGCGTTGCGGTCCCGGCGACACGGGGTCGGTGCAGGCAGCACGACGCCGCCACAGCGCGGACAGGGCCCCGCGCAGCGCAGCTCCGGGCGCGGCAGGAGGGCGTTGCGCGCAGGCGGCACGGAAGGCACGGGCGAGGCGCGGATCGCGGCGGGCCCAGCAGGCGCGGAGGCGGCCGGGGGCAGCCCAGACGCTCTCGACCAGCGCGGGTCCGGTGGCGGTGCCGGCGCTCAGGAACGCCACGTACCGCGCGCCGCCCGCGCCCGCCGCCTCCCGCGCGCACACGGGCCCGCCGAGCCAAGCGCGTGCGCATGCGCACAGTGCCGCACAGGCCAGAACCGCGCGCGCCCACATCCCGCGCGCCACTCCACCCCCCCCCCCCCCAACCGCACCCGGCTTTAACCCCGCGCCCGACGGCGAGCACAGCGCTGATTGGCCCGCGCCGCGCAGGCCCCGCCCCGCCCCGCCCCGCCCCGCCCCGGGGAGAGCGGTGGGATGCAGCCGGAGTTCCCGACCCTGGCTCCTCATCCCGGGTACCGCCCCCGTGCAGCGCACCCGCCAGTTCCGGGCACTCCCCATCCCGGGCACCCCCTGCTACACGCACCCCACCACACGCGCTCTCTCCCTGGGCACTCACGGGTGTGCTCTCACGTGCACGACCCTGGATGCAGGTGTGTGCAGATGTGCACAGGTGCCTGCACGCTCACCTTGAGCGCAAGTGTACACACTCGTGTGTGAGTGTATGCCCATGTGCAGTGCGTGCCCAACCATCTGTGTGCCCTGCACAGGCTGTAGCCATGTCCCTGCTCAAGTGTCCACTGTGTGCAGTCAGGACACAGAGCACTGTCCTCTCCAGCCCAGCAGAAGCCGCCCGTGGCCCAGGATCACACTGTTTGAGAGCTGAGGATCCCTGAGACGGAGCCACCACAGCCCCCAGGGCTCCTGTGACCTGTACTGAGGCGTGACTCTCACAGTACAAAGGTGTTCCTTGATATTCAAAGGAACCTGTCATGTCCTAGTTTGTGCTTATTGCATTTTGTTCCAGTACTGGACATCACTGGGAAGAGACAAACTCTCATCTCCTTGCACCCTCCCTGCCTGTGTATTAGCAGGATCCCTCAAAATTCCTCTGCTCCAGCCTCGGCAGACCCTGCTCCTGCAGCCACTCCAAACAGTGCAGGCGCTCCAGTTGCTCCACCACCATCACGACCCTTTGCTGGACTCACCCCAGCATGTCTGTGCCTTGCCCAGGTAATCCCAGCTGAAGCAGCACAGCCTCCCCATTGGTGCTCCCTGCCTGGCTTTGCCTGGTGCCATGAGGACACATCCCTGGCTTCTGCTCAGCTGGTGCCCAGCAGGATCCCAAGGATCCCTGTGGAGCTGCTTTCCAGCTGGTGCCACAATTTATGCTGGTACAATATCCCCCTGTGAATCAGGATCTCCCTACCCTGGAAATACCTTGGGAGGGTAGCTGGGCTGTGGGACAGAGCTTACCCCTCCACCTATCCCAGAGCCCCAGTGCCCCAGGGAAGTGTTGTTTAGGGTGGCTAGTGAGTCTGGGAATCCTGCTGCATCACTGCTGCATCCCAAAAGGATGCTGGCCCCGCTCTGGAGAATTGGCCCACTGAAGTCCAGATGCACCTCCCTGCCTGAAGGGGGGAGGAAGGGAAGGGAAGGGAAGGGAAGGGAAGGGAAGGGAAGGGAAGGGAAGGGAAGGGAAGGGAAGGGAAGGGAAGGGAAGGGAAGGGAAGGGAAGGGAAGGGAAGGGAAGGGAAGGGAAGGGAAGGGAAGGGAAGGGAGGGGAAGGGAAGGTTCCTTTGGTGTGTTTTTTTCTTCCATGGCTAGTCTAGAGTCATGTCTGTGTCCAGGCTGATGCTCTGCCCTGCTGGGGTTCTGGGGGGGGGGGGGGGGGGGCAGGGGAGGTGGTCTGTGGATCCCCATGTGCTCTAACCCTAACTGGGAGACACTGATGGATGGTGCTTGGCAGTGTAGGCTTATCTCACCTTATCAGGATTTCCCTGACAGCAATGCACTGCAGAAAGGGCAGAGTCCACCTTATGGCTATGATAGGGCTGCCATGTGCCACCCATGACATCACCCCACATGTCACATGTCCTGGGAGCTGTGTTCATGAAGCTGGATGAGGGCTGGCAGAACTGGCATGCCAAGGCTGGAGAAGGGCTCTGCTCAGGGGTGCCCCAGATGTGGGAGAACCAGCTTTCCACCCATAGGGATCCACAGAGCTCTCCTGCCATGGGCTCTGCCACACTGTGCTGTGTTCCCGTCCCAGTGCCCCCGGGGCTGCCCTGTGCATGCCTTGTGACCCCTCATGCCCAGCACCCTGGGGCTGCCCTGTGCCTGGGTTGTGTTGTCAGCCCTGTGGGGCCCCACAGGGAGGGATCCATGGGGCAGCACAGGACAGCCTTGGCTGACAAGTGAATGACTGTGTGAGAGACAGAAAACCCAGTTTGGGTTTATCTGGAAGATAACAGGGGATAAGGAGGGATGCCTAATGCTCTGGCCTTCAACGCCCAAGCAACTAGTGGCTTACAGGGCTGGCCCTGCAGCAGATCTCCCCACTGTGTAATCACGCAGCTACTGCCCTGCTGCCAGCTACTGGCACAAGGCTGGTGTCTGGCTGGACAGTGAGGACATGGGGCTGAGCCCTGGGCTGCCCAACTCAACAGGCAGCTCTGCCAACCCTGCACCCAGCTCCGCTGACGTGGCTCAAGGCTGTAGACAAGGCCAGCATGCGGCTAAGCTCCCAAGGACTCAGGGCTGAGCCTGCAGTGGGGGAGAACTGAGCTCTGGTGAAGATGCCAGCAGTCATGGTCCATGCAGGGAGTGGGTCCCCTGCATGGACCATGGGTCAGCAAGAGTGCAGAAATGGGCTGGTGAAGCAATTCCTTCCCCCTTCTTCTGCACGCTATGTTCCATTTGGGGCTCCCCAGTACAAGAAAGATCCTATACTGGAGTGAGGCTAGTAAAGGCTGCTGAGCTGGTCAGGACTGGAGCTAGGCTTACTTGGGCTGAAGAAGAGGAGAAATCAGGCTTCATCTGCCCTGAACTCTGAGTCATGGCTGGACTAATTTCTTCTCCTTTTGCACTCCCCAGGCCAGCATGGGCATTGGGGTGATGCCTCCTATGGAGACATCCTGCAGGCAGCAGCTGGATGAACAGACTGTGTGAGTGGCTGCCAGACCTGGAGCCTCACCCGTATCTCAGTGCTGACACACCCCCAGATGTCCCCATGTCCAGCCTTGCCCTTCACCCCAGCCAGCAGCAGCACTGGCTCCCCATTGTATGTGTATCATGCATGCTGCTGGCCTGCTCGTGTCACCTGGGGACAGGCACCCTTGGAGGAGATGCACAGCTCTGCCTTCTGGAAAAGGAATTGCTGCAGCACTGGATACAAGCCTGTCTGTTTTTTACTGATCTAAGCTGGAATTTACAGCTTTGTGGAAGGGAGCAATACAGCATCCAGGGCATCCATGGCTCTGAACATGAAAGGCAGAACAGGGAAACAACTTCATGAGAGAAAATGTCTTGTGAAGGTTGGAAGACAAAATTCAAGTTGGAATGAGTAAAGGAGTTATTTCGCACCTGACTTGAGATTATCAGTTCAAGTATTTTGCAGACCCAGGGAGACCCTTGAGGGCTCCTGTGGACTCTGGCATGCATCCACATGTCTCTCCACCCTATGCTGGTTGGTGGGCACTCCCCAGGCTGGCAGCCAACACAGCCACCACCTGTCTGCCTAGGAAGAGCCTGGGTCAAGCTGTGGTCCCCTGTGACATCTTGGTCCCATCTGGATCCCATCCCCTTGTGGCACCAAGACTCCACACAAGTGCTACCCTCTCCCACTTGTGTGACTTGGGACCCTCATCACACAGCAGCCAGAAGTGCCCCAGCCTGCTGTATCAGGCTACTCAGGCTTTCCATCAGCCTAATGGAGATGGGAACACTGGGATGTGGTGGGAGTAAGGCACTTTTGCTGCTTTCGTGGCATTTGCCTGCTCCCTGGCTACCCTGTGTGACCAGAGGCCAGGGTGGTGGGCTTAACTCACCTGCACCCAGCAGTCCTGGCTCTAGGGAGAGCACTGGTATTCAGGTTCGGGTGGCACTGGTGCCCATGGGTGCACAGGCCACCCTGGGCAAAGACAGCCCGTGTGCCTGGCCCCAGCCTCTGTGAAGGCTGTGCTGGTTGTCATCATGTAGCATCTGCCCAGACTTCTTCAAGGAAAGAGACATCCCTCTAGGATATATTGTCTAATTTTATAGGGGGAAGGGACTACAGGGGCAGACTTTTCTTCTCTTTTGCCTGATTCTCATTGCAGAAGCAGAGCTGGCTCCACCAGCTCTTTTCAGTATGAGGCTGGGCTGTAGGGACAATGGAGGTGGTCAGGCTCTACACATCTGTGGGTCCTGCAGCTCACAGGAGCCATCTCCTGCTCTGGGTCCTCAGCCACAGCTGCAGCCTCCTCAAGGTCTTTTCCAAGAGTCATAGAGCATCCTGAAAGTCCTGGGCAGCCTTGTCTGGGTGACCCTGACTGAGCCAGGGACTAGAAAACCTCCACCCTCAGCAAGGAGTTGCACCTTGCTTCCAGCAGTAAATAACCAGCCTTGTCTATAGGAAAATACAAGGAGAGTATTTTCTCCAAGACTTAAGGAACACAAAGAAAACCACCCCAAAACTAGCACAAGGCACAGAGGTTCCTTGTGAGAGGATGGTACTTTCCTCCTGCTGATGGTAGGAGGAAATTCCTACAACTTTCTGTTTTCCCTTAGTTCCTGGGCATTTCCCCATGCCATTGTGATCAATGCACCTGGTTTTACTGCCCTGGTGAACATGTCCCTTTAAGTTATGGGAACTACCCAGGAGGAAGCAGCTCTGAAAGGAGTAGTAGCTGACTGGTGCATATCACTGCACTCGAGGTGAAGGTCAGGTAAGTGATGAATCAGCAGGAGCTGGGTTTACTAAGAGCAAGAGGAACAGCAACTCAGAGCAGGGACCCCCTTCCCAGCATGCTTGGGGGCTTGGCAGGAGCTGTGGGCTAGCACTCTGGGGAGAGGAAAGTTCATGGGGTTGAGGCATTTCTGGAAAGCCCAGTTACTTTTCTTTCAATGTCCAAGGAAAACTGTGGGCTGGTATTATCATCTCTTTGGAAATGAGATTAAGAGACCAAAGCGGCTTGACAAGAGAAAAAATTCCCACATGCTTCAAATTTCCTTCCCATTGTGTGCAACAGCTGTGACTGAGCTCTGCCTGTGACAAATGCTGGGAAGGTTTGGGTGCCCGCAGCAGGAAGTGTGTATGGCACTGGGTGAATCATTTACTGCAAAGTCAGGTGAAC